TATTAACTAGACAGTGCTTAAGCACCATATCGATTAAGATGTGGGATATCCAGTCTCCTATTTTTCATGATCATTAACTCCTCAGAGGCTGTTCTCCCTTCTCTTTTCAAGAGTGGTGTGATTATGGAATTCACATACTGACATGTTTTTTTTAAAGTGAGCATTGCCTTCATTTGTCCAAGCAATATGAGCGTTTGGGCACTTCTGTACCTACTGTACAGAAGAGATCTGCTGTTTTTGCAGAAAAGCTACAAAATGTGGTTTCAGTGCACAGGCAACATCCATGCGAGAGATTCCCAGATGAGAATATATGCTGTGTCAGGTCATTCCCTGCTTTCATTGAAAATGTTTAAGGCTCAGCGTTAGCCTGGTGTACTGCAGCTGTGATTTGTAAGTGTGTACTGCCAAATGATCTAAATTTTTTTCAGTTTTAATTTGGGATGAGCCACCACAAAATGTCCTTATAAATGCCAGTGGTGTGTTGGTACATCCTTTGAAGCGAACAGTATTAAACTAAAGAATAAATATGTACTTAAACCCAGGGTATTAAATGAATCTACCAAACCCAATTAATTGTAGATCATGGATGAAAACAGACAAAGAAATCAGATTACTATAATCTGGATGTCAAATTGGGATCCATCCACACGATAAACTCTTTTTAAACAATCTTACAGCACAAGTTAACATTTTTCATGAAATAAAGGTCGTCATGTTTGACAAAGCCAAACATGATATTTCCCAACTGCTTGCTTCATCGGGAGTCAACAGGAGAGCACCTCCACTCTATGCCAACTTGATTTCTGACCCTGGTTTGTGGATTTCTGGTCCATCACCGAAGTGCGTGGCCCGACTCCAGTTCTTTGGGCAGAGGTCACCAGGCAGGAAGAAATTATCGGAATGTACACAGGCCCCACGGCCATAAGGGAAATAGATGTGCTTGTGGTCCGATTCCTTGCATAACAGTGTAACAGAAAGATCCAAAATGTCCAAAATGACCTGGGTGCCCCAAAGCTCTCTCTCAATGGATGTGAAACTTTGCCCCATTTTTGCCGGATCCAGGCAGCGTCTGGGTGTCACGATGCTGTACAGTGCACTTGCTCACAGGGGTATATAAGAAGGGAGAACACTACAAAATCTTTTTGCACTCTTTTCCTGATCTTTGTGTAATTTTGTGCACCTGTATTCATTAAATTTTACCACAGAAAAGGGTTTGAATATTTATCCAATCTTAGCTTTTCTATTTTTCTTTTATATTAATGATCTTTGTGTTTTTTTTTCTTTGTATTTTTTTATGTGTGAGGCACATTGTGTATATACTATAACAAATATTTATCGCAATTCCAAAGTGTCGTTTCTGCACGATTTAAAGCAACAAAATATAGAAACTGCAAGGGTCTGAATACTTTTGCAGGGAAAATTGTAAATGTCGAAGACATGCACATAGGAAATGACATAACAAAACCGAAGTTTTATACAAATGTATTTGATTGAATTCCTTACATTTATGTGTCTAGGATCGTTCTGACTGTCAATGAGACATTCCATTTTTAACACCATAATTGTGGGTTTAAATGAGACCATGACGCAATATTTTGCAGCCAGAAAACAGACAAAATACAAATTCCCTGTTTTATTCTGAGCTTTCAGGCCTTGGAGTTAGACTCATGGGTATTTAACCAAGCTGCTGCTAGTCGGGCAATGCTAAATAACCATATTACACACAGAAATATATTTAGCTATTGTAAAAGTTTCAAATGTCCAAAGTTCAAAGCCAATTTTTTATAACCCTGGCTCGTCCAGAGACAAAGAAATTCATTATGGCAGTGTATGGCTCCAATTTCACATGAATCTTTATGAGCTTTAGGAACAGGGACGCATGAGTCATGGGAAAATTGCTCGTTATTTTCTTTAAACAAGACAAGTTGTTTGCAATTATTCCTGATAAAATGTTTCCTGCAACACTACAGAAACAAATTAACGACTGTTTTGTTCACTTACAGTGGTCTGCTTTGCCCCCAGCATTATTCCAAATTGTAGAATTCAATTAGGAATTTCAAAATGCAATCAGTTGTCTCGGTCAGATATTGGATTACACTTAAATGTGGTTCATAAAACATTGAAAAAAACTACCAGGAGGTTTCTTAATGATGTTGCATTGTACAAGCTAATGAATGTAAGTTCTAACAAATGCTGCACATTACCAGTGAACTGTATGGCATCTTCATAATGATAGCCCTCCTCATTCAGCATTTCAAGAAAATGGTTTGAAAGAAGAAGATGAAATGAGAGATCAGCTTGTTATTGCATGTTCATTTTCTTTTGCGTCTCTCGTTTCAAATATAAAATTAGGGCAGCACGATGTAGTCCGTAGCATCGCTGCCTCACAGCACTGGGGCCCTGCGGTCGATTCCTGAGCTGCCATCTGTGTGGAGTTTGCATGTTCTCTTCATGTTCATGTGGAACGTGTAGAAAACACAAACATTTACGGTTTTATGAACAGAATGCGTATTTTTTGGGAAAGCATTTAACAGTGGCAGTTTTTAAATAATAATAATAATAATAATAATAATAATAATAATAATTGCTTACATTTATATAGCGCTTTTCTGGACACTCCACTCAAAGCGCTTTACAGGTCATGGGGATCCCCTCCAGCACCCCCAGTGTGCAGCCCCACCTGGATGATGCTCCAGAACGCTCCCCCCACACCAGCTCTCAGTGGGGAGGAGAGCAGCGTGATGAAGCCCGTTCAGACGGGAACAGGAAGCCACGAGTTGCAGGGCAATATGGCTGCTATATTGTTTCTTATTTAAATTTGCTGAGAATGCAATAGATATGTTTGGCGGGCTAAGTTTAATTTAGTGGTTGACACAAAGGATATGAAACCAGGAGCTTCCTGGTTCAGCTCCAGAGCCACCCAGTGATATCTGAAAGCACGCACGTACTGTAGGTCCTGTGACTTGTTTTGTTATTGTGGCCATTTTGTTTCATTTTACGATTTTAGATGTCTTGACAGAAATTATTTTTTTTAATCTTAAATATTTTTCTCTTTGAAGAACATAACATAGAGTACAGTACAGCTCTTTCATAATGTACAATATTTTTTGCTTTCATGCTATGGTCTTTATCCAGTACAGTGTCACAGGGGAGCCCATCCCAGCAAGGGACAGGCACAAGGCAGGGTGCACCCTGGACAGCACGCCGGTCGGTCCATCACAGAGCAGACAGAGACACACACCCACGCGGGTCCATCACAGAGCAGACACAGAGACACACACCCACGCCGGTCCATCACAGTGCAGACACAGAGACACACACCCATGTGGGTCCATCACAGAGCAGACACAGAGACACACACCCACGCCGGTCCATCACAGAGCAGACACAGAGACACACACCCACGCCGGTCCATCACAGAGCAGACACAGGGACACACACCCACACAGCAGGGCCACTTTTCCCAGAAGCCAATTCAACTTTGGACTAGTAGCCAATTAGCCTTTGGACTGTGGGAGGACACCAGAGCACCTGGACATTAGATCATATGGACTCCACACAGGCAGCACCCCAGGCCCCAGCACTGTGGGGCAGCAGTGGTAACCACTGCATCATCACGTCGACCTTACAGGACTTCACGAATAAGTTAAATATGTTGAACTTTATAGATTGACGGCAACACACAGATGACCGGTTTGTGTCTCTGTGAAAGATATCGTTGTGCCGTGTTTTAATTGAGAGCTCTTGGGTATTTTGTCAGAAAAACACACTGGAGCTGATGAAATAACGCGGATCTGTTTAGAAACTGGATATGCTATTGACGCAGCAGCAATCTATCAGAGCCGTACAGCAAGAGACAGGGGCACCGTCTCTCAGTCTCTCAGCTATGTGGGGGCGTTCTGGCCCATTATTAAGTGTAAATTGAATATACATCTGTTACGATCCGATTTCACAGCCTGTCGGGGCCAATTTAAACGCAGGTAACATAAACTAAAGCACACATTTATCCAAATATAGCGCACATATCATCACCAGCTGAGGTAAATTGAGAAACTAAAGACTAAAGGGGAAAGTCTCGAATTTATAGGGCATATGCACCAAGTTATTATATTTCCCCAGCGTAAAAAAAATATTTAAATAAAGTAAATAAAATTAGAACACCTGACTTTCTCAATCCGCGATTCCTCTGGCACTTCAATGATCTAATTAGGTATGCAAAACAACTCCCTGTATTGCTGGAGCGATAAAAATAATATATCCACAGAAATAATCTAAGCAATCAGTTCCTTCACATTAGATTTGAATTTGGTTTAATCCTGCTAATCCTATATTGTTTCCTTTTAATACCGTACAGTACGAGAAAAATGACGTCAATTCGTAGACGTGCGGGTATTAAGCGTCAATGCACGCTTTTTAATACTTGGGGAAATTGCAGCACTGACAGATAGACGATCAAACCACATTTACGAAAAAAAAAATACAGATGATTCTATTATGATCAGAATGAACCCACCACAGCGCCCACGCCACTCTTGTATGACCTTTTGTTGGTATCTACAGTTTTATTTCTGCTTCAATTGGGACTTGCAGTTCGTGATTTTTCTGTCACCGCAAAATTACAACCGTATCGCAGCATGCAGTTTTCCTCGAATTGGTAAACGCTGCCTGCTAATCTAAACCGCGCAGTTTACCGGCAGGCTGCGTTTCCCTGCCGCGACCTCACCAAGATGGCCGCCGCGCCGGGACACCCGCCTCCCACGCCCATGCCCCGCCCCGCCCCCCGACGTCCAGGCGTGCGTCAGCGTCATCGGGGCCGGGACGCAATGCTTGGGCGTGTGTAACCTGGGTCCGTCCAGCTCGCAAAAAGCGACATTGATTCGCGCACAGGGGGGAAGGAGAGAGGGAGAGACCAGTCTGCTGGCAGGGAGGAGGGGACGCAGGAACCCGAAGCAGCAGCAGCAGCAGCAGCGTGCGGATTCAGAGGGTCGGCCCGATCCTTCGGAGCAAGAACAGGAGAAGGGAGAAAGCTCAGGTGGTGCCCCTGTCTCGAGACACCTGGCCGCGGGAGAGCGCCCGGCAGCCGTCACGTGCGGGAGAGGGGAGCGCGCGTGGAGAGGAGAGAGCGGCTCGAGCTGGGGGGCGCGAGGAGCCCGGGCGCGTCAGTTGCGCGGTTACAGCCCGTCTCGGTTGCGTCAGGCGCTCCGGCGAGCACCAAGTTCACGGTCTTACTGCGGTGACCTTTTTCTCTTTTCCTTTTTCCGTCGCTGGAGGAGGAGGACGACGACGACAGGAGGGAGGTTTGACAGGTTTTCCCGCGACGGGACATGGTTCTTAGCAGAAAATCGCCCCTCTTGATCGCCACCTCGATCCTGTCGAGGACACCCTGCTTATTTTTGTGAAAGGCGAAGTGCCGTCGTCGTCGTTGTTGGTTGTCATTGATTTTTTTTTTTGGAGGGGAGGAGGGAGGGATTGTGGGATCTATAACCTTGATACCAACGCCACCAGCAGCAGCGGCGACAGCGATAAGGGCCGTGAAGCGAAAGGGAATTTCGTGTCCTGCCGAGAGACCAGGATGAGCAACAGTACGAGCAGCATTTACGCGAGTCGGAAGAGGAGAAAGCCCGTGCAGAAGAGGTAGGACCCTCCGCAAGCACGC